GCTAAATCTCAGCAAAATATCAGACTGTAGAATCCTCAAATTATGTCTACTCATATTTATTGAGCACCTACAACATAGAAGGCCTGGATGAAATCATAATTAGGTAGATCTTAAATCTTAGGTGATAAGAGGGTGTGTACTATGAAACATACGAGGGAATGGTGGCTTGTAAACTCTTTTTTTTCTTAAGACCTTACATTGCCAGATATATTTTCCAAAAAGCTGTGATCTTTAAAGGCAAAAATGATTTTTGCCAAATCAGTGCGCCACCCAAATACATGGAAAATTCTGGAATTCACAACAGAAAAAAAAACAGATTATGCAAAGTAAGCACAGCATTTTAATAGTCTAAAAAGGGTAGTTTTGGAGAAAAACTAAGCAAGCATAGTGATTTAAAATTTTACAAAATATGGCCAATTTGGGTAACTGATTTTATTATTACATAACATGCTCCATTACGTATCTTCAGACCTTATCTTTCCCAAAGATTCTTCTAAAAACACTTCAATTTTCTGCATTTAATCATAGTAGCAGCTTAATGCTGCTTCCTACCTGAAGTGGCCGTACTGGCATTTCAGTAGATACCCAACACCAAACATCATCTACTTTGCCTTCCATACGATTTGTTGCTTTTGATTGCTCGAAAATTTTAGGACAACTTAAAGAAGGTGTTCATCAGTTTGTTCAATAAAACAAAACTGAAATCAAGACCATTTCCTGCAGCTGGCCACAATTTCATATCATCTCTGAATCATTTAAACTGGGTTAAGGTTACAAACATGCTGTCTCGCTGGAAACGTCAACAAGCAGCAATTATACCACCATTAAGTGACTCTTCTCCTCTCTCCTCAACAGGAAACCCCAGCACCAAACAAGAATCCATGGGACACTTTCAAGAACCCCAGTGAATACCAACATTACACCACAATCAACGTCTTAGACACGGAGGCAAAGGACGCTTTGGAACTGAGGCCTGCCGAGTGGGAGAAGTGTCTGAATTTGCCTCTGGACGTGCAAGAGGGTGACTTTCAAACAGAAGTTTAACAAAATCAAAATGGACTGAGGTGGATACAAAAACATTTATTGCACTGACACTTAAGACTTGGGAAGCCTGGCATTTCTATCTGGACAGTGTGACTATCCTATGTCAGGACCTTCATGTGCCAGATGTCAGTGGTGTCTGCATATGGTAACTTCTCGCTAGCCAGGCTAGTGGAGAGAGGACCAGGTGTATAGTTCTGACCATCCTGTGTTGTAAGTACCCGTGGAATGGATTTGTATGGTAATCTTTATAGATAAACCTCAAGCAACGATTCATGTTGTAACCGCTTCATATGGTTTAGTTTTCAAAAAACTTCACCATGAAGCACAATGTATATATTTATGCAGTTTTTAAAGTTTATAACAGTCTGTTTGGCCATTACTACACTTTTTACTTTATAATATAAAAAGCAAAGTTTTTGTCATTAAATGAATGTTTGTTGAGCTACATTCTTCATTGCTTTAAATGCAATAAAGTAATAATCTCACTTTTATATGAATAATATATTTCACATCTTTATTATTGCAGTTTTCTCTAGAAAGCTCTGAGTAGCTTTCTTTGCTGCAACTGTGTAAAAAAATATTTAAAATGTTGTATGGTGTAAATAAACTTTTGTCTACATATCAGTTTTTTGGTGCATTTTATTTGGGGTTTGTTGAATGGCAGGGTACATATTTATAAAGTTTTTTTCAATACGGATACTGAAAATGTATTCACTGTTTTAATAGCCTATGTTATTACTGCTTTGAGGCTAGTGATCTCTCAAATGTAATAGTAGGTTTATATAGTGCTGCTACATTTTCTACTCACATAGCCTTTGGAACAATGTAAATGGGGTTTGTCGGAAGTCTGCTGCCATTATACTCTTACATAAATACTATGTTTTTTTATCTTGAAGCAAAAAGATACAAACTACTCATAAAAAACAGTAAGTTATCATACAAAAAAATGCAGAGAAAATGTTTATTTTCATAAGTAATGAAGTTCACTGCATGTTTCACAAAAGAAACTACTTGTGTTACTGCTCTCCATAGCATTCCAAAAAATGAACTTATTCAGAATTTCAAAAATTGTTCAAGTTCACATTCATATGAAATTGAATAATTGGAATTTGCACTTGCATGTACATCAGGATTTAAATCCTATGCTCCCCAGTGGACTGTGCTGCTTTTCTGTGTTTGATGTATCATATTATTCTCTCTAGTGCCTAATAAAATGCCCAGCACAGTGTAGCTGATAAATATTGGATGAAATGAGGCAAGAAAGGAGAGGGGGAAATAATAAGGGGAGAGTTAAAAGACTACAGTTCATGAGACTTCGGGATATTAGACTAGATCAGACTTACTCCCCTGAACATATCCTAAAGGTTATCTTTTTTTTTATTATATCTTTACTATTGTCACAATTAAGGGTTATAAGTGCTGAAAACATCGAATGTATTCAGGATTCTAATAATTTAATTTCTAGTTGTGATAAATATTTATATAATTTGTCTCTTTTGCTCATCCATACTTGAGAATGATTTTTAATATATTGAGTGGAACCCATATAATAACTCACATACCTGTTTTATGTTCCCCTTGATAATTGATCATGATCAGCTGAAGGTGATAATTTGGGGCAGGGGGGAGTTCAGTAGATTGTAAGCACCACCTGCCAATGGGAAGGGTGTAAAGAACCCATTCAACCATTGGGGTTATTTTAATTTTTTCCAAAGAGTTTTCTATCATGATTTCCTTCTTGTCCTTCGATGTGACTCAGTTTAGTCTATTCCATTCAAATGTCCTCATTTTACAGAAATCTTTCAAACAACACTTATTTAAAATAAAGCAAGTCCATGGCTAAATCTCAGCAAAATATCAGACTGTAGAATCCTCAAATTATGTCTACTCATATTTATTGAGCACCTACAACATAGAAGGCCTGGATGAAATCATAATTAGGTAGATCTTAAATCTTAGGTGATAAGAGGGTGTGTACTATGAAACATACGAGGGAATGGTGGCTTGTAAACTCTTTTTTTTCTTAAGACCTTACATTGCCAGATATATTTTCCAAAAAGCTGTGATCTTTAAAGGCAAAAATGATTTTTGCCAAATCAGTGCGCCACCCAAATACATGGAAAATTCTGGAATTCACAACAGAAAAAAAAACAGATTATGCAAAGTAAGCACAGCATTTTAATAGTCTAAAAAGGGTAGTTTTGGAGAAAAACTAAGCAAGCATAGTGATTTAAAATTTTACAAAATATGGCCAATTTGGGTAACTGATTTTATTATTACATAACATGCTCCATTACATATCTTCAGACCTTATCTTTCCCAAAGATTTTTCTAAAAACACTTCAATTTTCTGCATTTAATCATAGTAGCAGCTTAATGCTGCTTCCTACCTGAAGTGGCCGTACTGGCATTTCAGTAGATACCCAACACCAAACATCATCTACTTTGCCTTCCATACGATTTGTCGCTTTTGATTGCTCGAAAATTTTAGGACAACTTAAAGAAGGTGTTCATCAGTTTGTTCAATAAAACAAAACTGAAATCAAGACCATTTCCTGCAGCTGGCCACAATTTCATATCATCTCTGAATCATTTAAACTGGGTTAAGGTTACAAACATGCTGTCTCGCTGGAAACATCAACAAGCAGCAATTATACCACCATTAAGTGACTCTTCTCCTCTCTCCTCAACAGGAAACCCCAGCACCAAACAAGAATCCATGGGACACTTTCAAGAACCCCAGTGAATACCAACATTACACCACAATCAACGTCTTAGACACGGAGGCAAAGGACGCTTTGGAACTGAGGCCTGCCGAGTGGGAGAAGTGTCTGAATTTGCCTCTGGACGTGCAAGAGGGTGACTTTCAAACAGAAGTTTAACAAAATCAAAATGGACTGAGGTGGATACAAAAACATTTATTGCACTGACACTTAAGACTTGGGAAGCCTGGCATTTCTATCTGGACAGTGTGACTATCCTATGTCAGGACCTTCATGTGCCAGATGTCAGTGGTGTCTGCATATGGTAACTTCTCGCTAGCCAGGCTAGTGGAGAGAGGACCAGGTGTATAGTTCTGACCATCCTGTGTTGTAAGTACCCGTGGAATGGATTTGTATGGTAATCTTTATAGATAAACCTCAAGCAACGATTCATGTTGTAACCGCTTCATATGGTTTAGTTTTCAAAAAACTTCACCATGAAGCACAATGTATATATTTATGCAGTTTTTAAAGTTTATAACAGTCTGTTTGGCCATTACTACACTTTTTACTTTATAATATAAAAAGCAAAGTTTTTGTCATTAAATGAATGTTTGTTGAGCTACATTCTTCATTGCTTTAAATGCAATAAAGTAATAATCTCACTTTTATATGAATAATATATTTCACATCTTTATTATTGCAGTTTTCTCTAGAAAGCTCTGAGTAGCTTTCTTTGCTGCAACTGTGTAAAAAAATATTTAAAATGTTGTATGGTGTAAATAAACTTTTGTCTACATATCAGTTTTTTGGTGCATTTTATTTGGAGTTTGTTGAATGGCAGTGTACATATTTATAAAGTTTTTTTCAATACGGACACTGAAAATGTATTCACTGTTTTAATAGCCTATGTTATTACTGCTTTGAGGCTAGTGATCTCTCAAATGTAATAGTAGGTTTATATAGTGCTGCTACATTTTCTACTCACATAGCCTTTGGAACAATGTAAATGGGGTTTGTCGGAAGTCTGCTGCCATTATACTCTTACATAAATACTATGTTTTTTTATCTTGAAGCAAAAAGATACAAACTACTCATAAAAAACAGTAAGTTATCATACAAAAAAATGCAGAGAAAATGTTTATTTTCATAAGTAATGAAGTTCACTGCATGTTTCACAAAAGAAACTACTTGTGTTACTGCTCTCCATAGCATTCCAAAAAATGAACTTATTCAGAATTTCAAAAACCTTACCTGTATGTTCTTTAGCAGAAGGAAAAGCAGGGAGTGATGCACTTGGCCGCAGCTTTATCTCTGGTTTGAGTGATGGGCAGTCTGGGGTGAGCCAACTGCAGAACAGTCCCTCGTGTCCCCTCTACTGTCAAAGCCACACCAGTGGGGATGGCTCCTGCTTCCTCGGAGCTGCTGTGAAGAAAACGAGGTGAGAAGGATTTTTGCTCTTTTGTCACCTTTACTGGAGGGTGAGATTTTGTTTTCCAGTCTGAGGAAGGCCAGGGGAATGGAGAGGAGAATGGGGTCTTCAAAATCCCTAGACTGTCTATGTAGACTGGTTTGCAGTTGACCCTAAGCTGTGGGGTCTGCTGCCATCTGTCAGGAACTCAAGTAGGCTGCTACGCATGACCTTGGGGACCGCGCCCCGTGGCCATGAGGCGCACCGGCACCACTAAGCTAGAGCCTTAGGAACTGCTGGCTCCGGCTGGACGCTGTCAGGTCTCACAAGCATTCTCCATGAAAACATGTTAGAAGTACATTTTTAATCAGATTTTAAACATGAAAGTGACATCGTTATGCACAAAAGAATAAAACCCAACTAAGAACTTACTTTTCAGAGATAAACTTCATACTAATTAAAATGTAACGTTAAATGCCAATTAAATTTATAAGATGATTTTCTGGTGCTGGAATAATAGTAAATTTCTGTTCCTCATTCTATAATATTATATCTAAATATATATGTGTAAAAATTCATAATACTCAAATACTTAGCTCCACCTCAATATCCTGCAGAATGACCGAAAACCATGTACCCAGTTGCCCATTCCAAATTGTAAAATCTTGTTGGAAAAAGTACCTACAATATGTTTAAAAACAAACTCTATATGTTTAAAAAAAAATTCAGTGTATTAGACTAATATTTTTAATAAAACTGTAGTACTCACTGCCATAAAACAAAATCTTCACATTTTTCCCTTCTATTTTCCTCTAGTTCTAACAACTTAATATTAGATGAAAACTAACCAGGAATTGCATACAGTTAGGGTAAATTATATGTCAGGGTAAATTTTTGGGTTTTTCTAAGAAGGATGCCGAGTTGTGGTGGTGCTTTCTGTTTTTTAGCCCATAAGGAAAAAATGCAGGTGAATGAGCTTCAAGGAATCCTGACTTTGAGGACGCTCTCTCCCAGTCCACTCCTTCTGCATCCCTGCTGCACGTATACATCTCTGCCAAATTCGAGGTGCAGCCTCCCTCATGGTTCCCTTGGAGCCCTCTGCACCCAGGATCTGCCAGGATCTTTGTGCCCCTGGACTGGAAGTTCTTCCCTCCCCACCCCGAAATCCAAATTTTACCTATGCTTCAAGACACACCTCATATTCTATCTTCATGAAGTTTTCCATGATTTTCCAACCTAGAAATAATTCCTCCTGTGAACTCCTATGGCAATGCTTCTGTGCCTCTCTTAGGACTTTAAAAACCTTCTGTCTTGTTATTTCTACACATTTCTGATAACCTCTGGTGGACTGTAAGTGCCTGGAGGACAGGATTCATACGTGATCCATTTGTGTATCTCTTAAGGGACCTAGCACAATAATGTGCACATTGGATTGCTTGCTGGATTATTTGTGGATTTCAGTTTATTTTTTGCTTATAGTCATATATTCATATCAAGTCACACACTCACAAGGGTTTACTGAACAACTGTTCTGTGTTTACTTGTATGTTAGCAGTCCATACAAGGGCCTGTTTTAGGTAGCTCACTATCAAACATGAGATACATATGTGAAAGTAATATTATTTAAATAGTAATAAGTTATTACCCCATGTACTCTTTTTGTCCTTAACATCATCTCATGAAGCAGGAGTTAGTTATCCTAAAGAAATGGAAGCTCAGAGGAAGTTAATAGAGCTAAGATCACTATAAGTAAGTGACAGACCCAATAATCTAGCCCAGGGCTTCTGACTCCTACTCTAGGTCCATTCCTATGATACCATGGTGTTTCTATCCCTTCCTCATAAAACATTATGATGTTTCCCATGCAAATAAAAGCAAGTTCTAATGGAGATGTTTTTCAGGCAAGTGACAGAGGCATAAAACTGAAAAATACAAATCAGCTCTCAAGGAAGTCTTGAGACAACTAGCTGATTGTAGCAGAAAACATGATTGATCCAAAATAACAGGTTATCTTAAATAGATTGGTTCTATAGTCCATTGTGTGTCTCTTCTCGCACCTACTTTACTTTTCAAATGCTCTTTAAATGTAGTTAATTTTTCACTAGTTTTATTATTACCTGCACAAGAGACAGAAGAAAGAAGACAACCTGAATTTTCAGATTGGCTTTAAATTTTGAATCATTTTCAACGTCTTAGAAAAACTTTAGTTTTCCTAAATGTTAGTATTCCAGAGTTATCTATGTCAAAATCAATTAATTAAATTCTGTGAATTTGTATTACTTCATCAAAGGATATGAAACAAATGTTTCCAGTGTGTCAATCTACAGGAAGCTTTTCATGATGAAAAGACATCTCACCCCATCAGGTACTTCTGTAGTTAAATTTGTAACTGGGGTAGGTACAGAAGAGAAGAGATTTAAGAACTGAGAACCATAGAATGTAGAGAGGGAAGAATTTGGGCAACTGATGAAAATGGCAATCATTTTCAGCTTTCTGTGACTAAATCCAAACTTAGGTTAAGGAGAGAGTTTATTTGAAAGGCCTTTATTTGAAAAGTTTGTTTGAAAGTAGCTTTAGGGGCAGAGACACTATTGCAATAGGGAGAACACTCTGACCATAAGATCTACAAGCATCTCAGAAGTCAGGCAGAAGGGCCCTTATTTTATAGAGAAGAATCAAAAAGACTAGAAAGAACTTGATGTGGAGAGTGGGCTGAGCACGTGGTGTGATCAGGTGATTGAACAGGAAGTGTCTTTCTTTGTGGGCAATTCTGGGAGAAGGAGAGTTAGGGAAGGTTGTACCCCTTCCAGTGCTTTGTTAATCTCCCAATACTTGTTTAAACTCAAGGACAGACCCATGTCCAGGGCAAGGGAAAGCATGATGCCCTACTAGTTTTGCCAAGTTAAGTGAGCGAGTATTTTGTTCCGGTTGGTCAGTGGAGACAAACAGTCCGGCTAGTAATTTCTGAGACAAAGAACAGAAAATTGGAGGGCCTGTTGTCTGACTTTTTTGTAAATAGACAAGAGGTATATCTGAAAGTCTTAATATCAGAAGGGTGGTTTTTGCAATAAGTTGTTTCCAAGAACACGGAGGAGGGGGGGATTTCTTGATTCTTGCTGTTTTCCAAAGGTGTGTTGATTGCTCAGATAAAGTTCAACATTGTCCCAGGGAAAGAAGCTAAGCCCACTGGAATGAGAAGAATTTTTCAAAAATTGCCAGTATTTAGCCAGCAGTGATTAAGAGAAAGGATTTTCTCATACTAGACAATAACCATGACTCTTGAAACAAAAATAATTTAGAGTGATAGTGGTAAAAATTACAACCTAGGTAAGAATACCAACTGTTTTTAATTGTGAGCTTACTAATTATCTCCTGGTTTGGACTCTTGTTTGTACCTTTATATCATATAATATGCAGGTCAGGGAGGTGAGAAGCCTAGAGTCGAGGACCAGCCTATCTAAAGTGTAGTCAAGCTGAGGAGAATATTAAGGCATTCTTGGGCACAGATGAAATAATAGATATATGCCTAAAAACCAGCTGAATTGATAGGACTTCTCCATGAGCTGAATCCACTTGAGTATAGTCACCTCAAAACACCCAGCCAGAAACATCTAGCATTCAACCTACACAGAAACATTTCCTGGTGCAAATGATTCTTCTGGTAGCAACCTCCTATGAAAAAGGCCTAACAGCCTCTTGAAGAATGAATATACCTTCCTCCTCACCAAAACCAGCCAACTCCAGAAGACAGGCCAGCTGGATTTTCATAAACACTTTTCAATACAGGAGAATTTCAAAGATTAGAATTGAAGGTCAGCATTTTAATTCCTGTTCTTTTGTTTAACCAGCTCAGAGTTTATGTCAACTTTTCAGATGAATGCCTAGCATTATCTATTATCCCTTTTTCTCTAAAATCTAGAATTGCATTGCATTTCTAAAATTCATGGAGAATTTATATATATATACTTGGAGATAATTTTATTTAGTAAGTATGTTGTACTTTATTCTAAAGTGTACTTGAGGTGGTTTATAAAAATACATACATTATTTATTCAACAAATATTTATTTAGAACCAGTTTCAATCTAGATACTGTGCTAGAAGATGGTAATTCAACAGTGAACAAAACATGGTTCCTTTTGTAAATGTATTTTATATATTATATTAAGTATATATTTATTTTATTTATATATGTAATATGTAAAAATATATGTGATACATAAGTCATAATACATAAAATATGTTTATATTTTATATATAACAAAATATATGTAATATGTGTTTTATATAAATATATAATATATATAAATATATGTAATATATGTTTATATATTTTTATATAACATAAAATATATGTAATATATATGTTTACTATATATTATATATATACATGCACACATATATGTAGATTTGTAAAATTAAGAACAATCAAGGTGACACAGAGACTAAGTTAGCATTTACAATATATTCCTCAAGGCCCTAGATTCTTTTCTAGAGTTGCTCAAAGTAATGGCTCTGAGCCTCCTTGCAGCCAATGCAAAAATAGAAACTGTAACTGGTTATGTGATTCAGTATACCTAAGATAAAAACCAACATTTCCCTGAAGAAGCAGATAGACCAAGTGCCTCTCATGAACCCTCCTGATGAATTATGTGGTAAATTCTTTATCAACAGTCTCCTAGTAAATTCCTTGAGCTTTACCGAAACAGTACTTATATCCCTTCTCGAAGGGTAATGTCACGGTTAATTTATGTCTCGACTAGACCACAGTATCTAGATATTTGGTGAAATACCAAAGTAGATGCCATTGTGAAGTATTCTTTAGATGAGAGCAAAATGCCATGAGGATAGACGCCCCTTTATTTGGGAGCTTGCCCTGTGTCTCTCTTCATCTAGCTGCTAACTTGTATCCTTTACGGTATCCTTTATGAAGCTGGTAAGTATAAGCATTTTCCTGAGTTCTGTGAGCCACTCTGGCAAACTGATCGAACCTAAGGGAGAGGTTGTGGGAA